GGGGCGAGTGGCTAATGGGTGGTTATTAAAATGTGGCACAAGAACAGGATCCAGAATGTCCCGGATGTCGTCATCGCCATTGTGATTTCCACGAACAGTTACCAAGTCCAGTTTACAGTCATGGGAGAGACAACCCCAGACCATGACAAATCCACGATCGTAAGGAACTGATTCTCTGATGTTCTTGGGCTCTTAGTCCTCCAGACTCGCTGGCGCCCCTCTGTGACGTGCAATAAAAAGTGATTCTCATCCGACCAAAGCACCTTCCTCCTTGACGTCAAATGCCGATGAAGTTGGGGTAAACACCACTCCAAATGAGATCTCTTGTAAAGATTAGTCAAGGCTGGACGCTTGATCACCCTTCTTGTCCTCATCCCATGTGCCTTTATGCGGTTTCTTATAGTCCTATTGCAAAGACGTCATTTGCAGTGAAAGGCTGACGTCTCATTAGGCTTGCTAAATCCCGATCTTCAACTTGAGACGTCTTTCGGGGTTGACCTAGCCTAGTCAGTCCTAGTCAAAGAAGTTAGTCAGTCCTTGTTGGTTTGGCGGTGTTTTTGAACAAGTCGACTAATGGCCTTGTGGTGAATGTCAAGCTGTCACTCAAAAGCCCGGCATGATATCCCGGTGTCGTGCATTCCAATAATTTGCCATCTTCTTGCTTCTGGTAATCTCCTTCGTGCCATTGTAACAGATACTGGTAAAATCATTAAAACATTTTGGCGTTTTATACAGTTAGCCGCATTGAGTTAATAGTGCTTTTTTAGACAATCGTGGGTAGTGTGCTTCAACTGTATATTGTGATGTGTTTTGACGATTGATTTAGCAAGACCCTTAAACAATATTGAAAGGGAATACAGTTCAAATAAAAGTCATCGTTACAATTCAAGATTTATCATTAGGTAAGTCAGTAATTTAAAATATGTTATGGGGTGCTTAATATAGTTCCATGTGTATATTTTCAAACATGTACATACATGTATACTATGACCGGTAATATACATTGGATTTGTTTATCTAAACATGTTATAAACACTGTCCCGCCACCTACGATAATATATATATACACTGGATTTTGTTTATGTTTTTTTATATCTCAAATCATAGTTGCCAGGGTGTCACATGTATTATGGATTCTGGATTCACTACAGCGGTACTGACCATGTGGCTGGTACTGGGTCACTGGTGATGCATCGTATGGCGGTCGTAAACACCAGCAGCACTGAGCACAACAGCATTGATACCCGTAGTCCTGGAGCGAGAGGGTGGGGAAATACGCCTTAAAGCTGATCACTATAACCTTTAACATGCATGATCATGAAAGGATGATTTCGAGTATAACAAACTGCTTGTAAAAGCTGAGCAACATCGCAACTGCTGCAACCAACAGAGCATCGCATGCTATTTCGTACAAGTTACTTTAACTTTAATAGTGTGCATGTGTGTGTGTGCGTGCGTGCGAGTATTTTCGAGCCCCATACAGTAAGGCACCAAATCCCTATCACAAAGTCATCGGTTTAGACCACTCAGACAGCGAGTCTTCCGGGAAAGAGTCATTTTTAGAAAGTGGTCAGAACCGCTGAGAGTGTGGGTTTGTATTTGTATTTTACTAAGAAAGTCTCATACAAGATATAACACTTGTTTGACTACTTTTTAAAATGCATTGTGTATTACTAAGTAACAAGTTACAGAAGAGTACACGAAGTCAGTTATCTGGACTACCAGTTCTCCAACTTCCTATTTTAGGAAACCGCGGTTGATGAGTGGGTGCTGGTGATTTCAGATTGTTTTCCCAACACCAGATGGGACTCAAGCCCAAAAGTATCCTAAATTTTTCTTTACTAACAAAGCGTAACCCCAAATAAATGTATGCATCAATTGTTAGATACCAGTCTAACCTATGTTAGCATTTAAAAGTTTGTATGATTAAAGAGAGGCGTAATTCTATGGATATGGATATATGGATATTTCTTTGTTACAATGGAATTCTATGGACAGACAAACGTTTGCGGTGTTATTATCAAAACACTAACTTCGCGCTCGTTGTAAGAAATAGGTTGTACATCCATAGATTATCTCCCTTGAATATCAATTATCTTATCTGTATGGCTATGAATCAGATGCAAGCCATCCTAATCAAATCCGACAGATAAAGTTCAGAGTGACAACCGAATCCAATAGTTCCCGTCCTAAAAGCAGTTCGTGTATTGTTAAGCGAAGATTTCCAAATCGAAACAACAACAACGACCTGGAAATCTCAGGAATTCATTGTGAAACAAACAAACATAACGTTAAGAGTTCAAAGAAACATGTCATACTATGTTGAACCGTAACTGCAATCTTTTGAAAGATTCATCGAGAACAGATCCTTACCTTTGACATCCATCAACCAGGCGACTGGAAACATGAACACAACGTACACAATATTCCCCCCAGTTGTTCAACATGCCTATATTGGCATCCGACCACCCGAACACAGCCTTAGCTGACTGAGCAATAGGTCCGAAAGTGTTCCACACGGCTGTCTGAAGTAGAGCAGCATAGGCGAACACCACCAAAACATACCACCTTCGTTTGTAACACGTAATGTTCCTTGAGGGGTCTAACAGTTGAGAATTTTCATCTGATACCCTGGCTGCCATGGAGACTTTACGTTCGCTGGGTACCTTGTTTTCTTTATCTGAGTTGGATAACGTAGGTAGCTGCTCATCAACATGCTCCCCATCCCCCATTTCGTCGTTCAGAGTTGGATTTGTTGTAGTGGCGGTTTCCATCTTGTCATAAGTCTTGACTGACCTAGTTATTCACTGTGCCCATACACATCTAAGGTATCTCTAACGTTATCACCATCCGAGGTAACTGAGATATCTCAGTGGTCAACAGATAGTTCAACTTTGAATGATGACGCCGTTAAACCACTGCCTACCTTCAACAACTTTCGCCGTTATACTAGTGATGCAGCACCGACCTATTTTGTACACAAGTTGACGGTTGAAGAGTGGCTTTCATGATTGTCATGCTACAGTAAAAACAACCGAATAGTCGGACAACGGTGGACATGTGTGCATGAACTGCTCGTGCTTTTCGACCTCCTAAGTCTTAAGCATGCATGTTTAGGGCTGATACTAGTTTCGATTGGGCCATCTTCAATGCACGATAATTAGATCACCAAAACTAAAGGGGTATTGTTACATACTGGTCATGACTGAGGGCACATGTCAAAGGATTCACGCAGCTAACAAGCATATGCCGCAAACTTGTCAAGGTAGGATGAATCAGCTAATCTCATATGTTAAACAATGATAAAGAAATTTCATTTACGCTCGAGTACCTTGAAAGAACTTATTTATAGGACTGATTGACTCGTATGCGATTTTAAACCCAAATTCGAATGAAGAAACTGTTAAATTGTGTTGAAAGCATGTACTTGAAAGGAAAACTGATCTCGATGAACTGATCTGGTAATGAACAGAATACTGATGACACAAGATGAATAACAAGATCAGTCCACCTCCATCAGGATTCTATATATATCTTATAGACAAACGAAAAACAGTGAGGACATTTTAAATGATTTCAACACGGGGTTGGACCAAACTTAAACCATTGCTATGTGTTGCATGGTGAATTTGATGTTTAAGAAAAAAGGCATTTGTTATTTAAAGTATAGTTCGAACAAAACTGAATTACAAATTTAGCATGTTTGTTGTTATCCAGTCATGCATAACTTTAAAGAAATCTCGTGGTTGATGACATTGGATTTTCCAATTAAAGTCGATGTATTACTTACAGAACATGGTAATGGATTTCAATACCGTACAGAAAAAGTAACGATAGAAAGTAAAATGTTAGTGTTTAAAAACAACAACACATATTGTTCATATACATGAAAGAATGTCAGCAACACCTGTTAGTATACACGCATGCATCCATATCAGAATGCCACACTGATTGATAGTAGCATGGAGTATGGTGTTTGTAACCAATATCTGTTGTTACAAGGCAAACAATCCAAAAAATGTCAGTCATTAAAATCATTGCTAATTAATAGTTCTTTTTAAGTATATATCATCGAATGGCGTGGACTGATATTTTCACGCGACAAGATCAGTCCACCTCATATAAGAGAACATAGTTCTAACTTTACAGACGAACAGAAAGGAATGAAGACATTTCAACATTTCAAACTGAATCCATATCCACGCTGAAATAGTATTGATTATTTGTAAATGCAGTAATTTGCTAGCGCATATGTACACCTCTATTGAAATTGAAGCGCCACCTCTCAACATTCAGCGTGCGTCACAAGACAAGTGACACAAAATGTTTCTGTACCAGAAAGGTGGTCATTATCAATCGACAAATTTCCTTAACCGACATCAAGGGCTTTCTTTGCGACATGATTGTTCTAGTATCGCTTCATTACATTGAGCCGTGAATAGTGGACTGGAACGATGCATGATACACCAGTATCGAGCCTGTTAATGTCATTTGATCGTTACTCTGCAGAGACTGAGGACCGGTTTCACTAATATATTTGACCATTTGGTATTACATCAAACTTTCATTTATGCATTAAATCCTTCTTGAGCATTTCATGATGAACATAACAACCTTTGATCATATCAGCATTGAGGTTTGCAAGGAGAACAATATCGCCCTGAGCACAGAGTGTCAAGCATACCACACAACTAATCTAAGGCCTTGTCGTACGTACATATCAAGAGGTTAGTTGAAAGAATGCGATAGCACGTACCATACATATCACTTGAATGATTGTGATGTATTCTTATACCGATAGCACACGAAGACACTTAGTTAAACACTGTGCATTGAACCTGGAGGTGTTATTCTGTGGCAAGACAATACCTAACCAACGTATAATTGACAACACCTGACCCACGTGTTAATATCTCGCCCATGGGCGAAAATATTTACATTGTTGTAAACAAATGAAAGTATAGCTGTGAGTATCATGACACAAAAGGTAACTTAATTCGGCTAATTTAGTGCTTTATTCAAAGATCTAATCCCAGAGTTAGAATATTTTAATTTGCTCAAAGCTGAAGTTTCACCTCAGGCGAAGGAACAGATCAGGTAGTACACGTGTACTATCCATGTACTGCTTGTACTACTACAAAACCAAAGATTCATTAATGGTTTTACAAAGTGCGAGTATTTCCCTTGGATCAGAGCGTAGTCAACATCGTTTGCAAACGACAAACGACGACAACAACAACAACAACGAAAATAGAATATTATCTCATACAAACGTTGTAATTAGTCATCAACAATTGACATTTTGTCTTCTCCCCAGGCATGTTATTCTTGGTGTACATGTGTCTTTTTTATGAAAAAGGAGCAAAAAGCAAATGTTTGCACCCAACAGGTGGATTACATTTTGCTGGTGATTATATCCCTGGATTGAAAGTCTTCACGTGATTGTGAGTGTCATAGCTTTCCTCCATGGAAACATGTTTGTAAATCTCCATGACGGAAGCGCCAAACTTTTCCACATCCATGGGAATCACATGTTCAATCACACCAGTGCAATAGAGCCACAGTATGAAACTGCAAGCCACAGGTTCACCAATCAGCTCCGAGTCAAAGGAGTGTTTGATTACACTGTCAAAATGTTTGATGTTTTCCTATGAGCCAACGTTTATGCTGCTATTGATCGACGCAGCACCACCCTCATCAGGCTCTGGAACAATGATCTCTTGTGTGTCGATGTCAGTCCGGGTGTAATTCTCTTTGAACAACAGAAGTAGAGGAACGGCAACTGCTATGGAGCCCAGCATGGTCCAGTTCATCCACTCAACACCTGCGAAAGGTACAGCAGCAAAATTAACTATTTGCTTTTTATTTTTAAGACATTTTCCACTTTAGGAAACTTTAATATGCGTATTTTTGCATAATCAAAATGTATCAAAATGTGTCTCTCCCATTATAATCATTATTACCGTTAATTGTAAGTTACAAATTAAAAGTTAATTGTATAGAGTTTGGTATATCATTGTTTGTGCACCCAAACAGTTTTATGTTGCTCCAAGGTATATTCGGGGAATCCATAACTGACCGAAGTTTTGATCTTTTGGGAACACAAAGGTTACCTATTTTCGGGATCTGCAGCACAGAAAGGAAGATGACACCAGTCAGGTTGTTGGCGATGGTGAGGACACCGACCGTCACTCCCTCAGCAATAGGATAAGACGCCTCACACCCAAGCTCGTAGAACAGAGGTATAGAAGCATTGATGAAGACTCCCATCAAGATGCAGGACAGGTACAGCGACACTGACAGAAGAGAGTCAATTCAACCATGACACACTTCCTACTTGTTCATCAATAAGAATGTCAGCAAAATGTTATACAGATGGTCTTGACGAGTGAGACATAGACGACCCCCATCAAGAGGAAGGTGCAGCGACACTGGTAGAGGAGGATGGACTTGACGTTCAGGTCAACATCTAACAGAGGCACAGAATCTTTAGAAGGATGGTTAACCACACCTCAAGGCGTATCAGGTGCCTTTAGGTATATGGACACACATGTTACTAGATTTTACGAATGCCATGATTATCATAGCGATATCTCTGTGCAGTGTTACACAGTCACATTTATCACCTAATACAGTAATAATTTCCCCGTATATGCAATTTTTTGCTACCTAGATATTGGTGAAATCGTAGATAACACATATATTCCCTGCTCCGAGCGGGGAAGATAACCGATATCTGACCCCTCTATTTTGCGAGCGACGTCATGGAACGTAACACAATACAATGACGTCATGTGTTATCCATGACGTCATGAATGACGTCAGATTTAGTTGCGGCAACCTTAAGCTGGTTCTCGGTTCCCTTTGCGCGCGCTAACTTGATCTTGCGAGACGGGGCCCAGTTTACGGCAACCTTTGATGAAATAGGAAGGTGATCGGATGCCAGCGTCGCTTTCCAATAGATTGATGGAACTACATGAATACTAAGTGGAGCGGGATTAAATTCCTTCTGATGAATCTATTGAGACACGGAAGTATACTCAGCAGCAAAAAACCCGTCAGTACGAATTCAAAATTAGATAGGCACTATAATCAAGTCATTACAGAAATGGACATAATAAGCGGATCAAAAACATTTTTTGTGTACAATATCTTGACACATCAATGAATAACTTAGCACAATTCCAAGACATTACGTGAACGTTTGCAGTCCATTCAGACCCTTGACTTCAGTATCTAGTGTGACCACCACGAGCGGCAATAACTGCAGCACAGCGTCTATGCATGGAGTGCACCAATCGATTGATGAAGGCCATTAGCACCTGGAACCAAACTCTGAGAAAGGCCTGGCGCAATATATCGGCTGTGTTCGGCCTTGGTATGACATTATTCAGTCGCCTCTGAATTTCATGCCAAAGATGTTCAATTGGGTTTAAATCAAGTCTAAGGGCTGGCCACTGCATAATGTCGACACCGTTCTGCTGTAGGAAGTCCCGTGTAGCTCTGGCAGTATGGGCTCAGGCGTTATCATGCTGGAAAATGTTGTTCCGGTGACGTGCGAAATGTGGTTTGACGTGGGGTCTGAGAGCTTGGTCGATGTAGCGCACCGCTGTGATGCCGCCTCCTCTGGTGAAGGCCTATTCCACCCCATACCATGATGCTTTCACCTCCCCATGAGTCTCTTTCCATAACACATTGGTCTGAGTAACGCTGGTCACGTCGTCGCCATATTCTTGTTCTGCTATCTGCAGTTGATACGCAGTACCGACTCTCATCTGAGAACAGAACAATTATCCATTGCCTGTATCGCCCGTTTGGTGTTGTAGGGCAAACTGTAGACGTTCACGCCGATGACGAGGATTGAGGATAGGTCCACAGTAAGGACTACGGTAATGGAGGTTTCCGCTGTTAAGACGCCGGCGTACTGTATCAGTACTGATTGGTCTTCCGTGTGTTCCCACTGTCTGGCGTGCTGTTTCGGATGCCTGCATGAAGGGATTCTGCACATGCTTTCGCACAACATGGCGGTCTTGTCGTCTTGTGGTCACCCTTGGTCTGCCAGTACGGTGGCGATCAATTGTGGTGTTGGTGGCCTGGAAACGTTGCTGCAGCCTGTAGATGGTCCGAACGTTGACCTGGAAGTGATTAGCAACGGTACAGTGTGGCCAGCTTCAGGTCTTCCTAGCGCCTGGTTCCTCTGAGCTGTCTTGAGAAGGGGCATCCTGCTGACGTTGTAATGTGAATGTTTCAACCAGGTTTGGAGTGCATTTTATAGGACTGGTCCTTGTGAACAGCACGTGCAGCATAAGTTGCATGAAACACATGGAGAACACCATACCATCTCCGAGATTAGTTTGCGTTTTTGAGCCAATTTCCTGGGTTCCATTCTGAGTTTGTGATGGAATGCCTTTGCTCACGTCAAGTTGGAGATGTTGTCAAAAATATACAATCAAAACATTAAATGAGTTTACAGTTATCCGTTTCTGCGAAGGCAAAATTCCAAACTGACGTTTCTTTTGCTGCTTAGTATATGTTGAAAATATGAAAAACGAAAACACAAGAAGAAAAATTACATTTACAGTTGTTAAATTAATGTTGAATAAAATTTGGTCGAGGCATCTTTTTGAGTGTTTTTAAAATGAGAGATTCTTACATGGTTACTAATAGTATTCAGTGATAAAAATATTATGACCTTCCCCTTTCCATATCTTGCCCCGGATCATCCCTCGAATCATATCTGACCTCGGCCTAACGGCCTCAGTCAGATATGGGCTTCTCTGGATGATACGGGGCAAGATATGGAATAGGGAGGGTGATATCTCTACATATCCATCAATATTTTGCCTATTTACAAACAATATTCACAGATTCCCTCACCCAAACTGAAAGGAATGTAGGACAGCCAAAGTAAGACAAACCAGGCTGTGGCGCCTGTTGCTAAGACGAATAGCAGCAAGAGCATCATCTTCATGTGACGTAGAAACAGGTCAGCAATCCTTGAAATAAAGAACAGAGCATTGATAGATAATCGGAGAGTTTGCAATTATTGAACTGGACATCGTTGTTCAATCGGGTGTTTTGGTTTTTTTAATCACTATTTTATTGCTGAATTCCTGTTACAGGTGGGGACAGGCAGCCAGGGAATTCCTTCCACACACATGCATACCTGAAGCACACACTGTAGAAACATGCAATACAAACGATTTACTATACATGAATAGTGATGATAAGCTGCTGGTGTCAATACACACGTGCATATCAAGTAAAGCTTGGATAGATTTTTTTCACAACTTTCATTCACATATTCACAATTGACCACAACATATTAGGGCAAATATACCAACCGTTATGATATAGTATTATAAAATATGGACATGCTGGACTTTTGTAGTGAAAACAAGCATTGTCACTAAGGTGGCATAATCCTCCGCCGCAAATTATCAAATCAAACTTAAAAGTAATGAAAGTTTAAGATGAAGTTAAATGTCAACAAAAACATGACCAGTCAACCTCTCTTGATATCTTGCTCTTTAGTTGTTCAAACACACAAATATTTTCAAGACTGGTTTTGACCTTGACTTGAATGTCATATTGTATGAAATATGCAAAAGTGGTACTAAAGAAATTGCTTATTGAAAAACATTCAACGGAAGTCTTGAAAGTCTATGAAGAAAATCCAGTGAATTCAGGTTAACATGCTGAAATCTTCAAAGTGTCACAGTGACCTTGAAAATTGAATGAAGGTCACCAAAATTGACTGGGCCCTGCGCCTTCATTAGATGAAGCTTGTTTTTAAATATGAAAAAGATCCAGTAAATGGTTTTTGCGATATCTTGCTGACTATCGTAACATGCAATTTAACATGCTGAAATTTTCAAAGTGTCTTTGTGACCTTGAAAATTAAGTGAAGGTCACCAAAATCGACTGGACCCCGTGCCTTTCCTAGATAAAGCTTGATGTCAAATATGAAGAAAATCCAGTGAATGGCTTTTGAGGTATCTCGCTGACAAGCATAACATGCAGGTTAATATGCTGAAATGTGCCTTGCGCCTTCTATAGATAGAGCTTGGTGTTGAATATAAAGAAAATCTAGTGAACGGTTCTTGAGATATCTCGCTGACAAGAGTAAAACGTTAAAGTCCCCCTGTGACCTTGAAATGAAGGTCAAGGTCACCAAACCTGACTGGGACCTTTCTTATACCGTGATGAACCTAGGTACCAAATATGAAAAGAATCTAGTCAACGGATCTTAAGATATTCCAATTCGTACGGACGGACGGACAGACGGAGCCTAATACTATATCACCGCTTCGCGCTAAACGCGCGGCGGGGGAGAATAAAATGAGATTCTGTAATCTAAAATCAGTTAACTGGGTCTTGCAACAAAGAGTGGTAGGACATCCACTGTGAATAAAATTTATTGTGTTCACATTTATCAGTAAAGATTTGTTTTTCTATTGTATAGCTATTTTTTCATTCATGTTGGAAATTCTTGAGAGATAGGTTCATCTTTTTTAATGTACATATATAAATAAAAAACTTTGAAAGAATTGGTTACACAATGCCATATAGAAAGTGGTTAGATGTAACATATGTTATATTTGGGATTAAAGATTCTAGTACTTTTGTTGGGTTGAGTCCCATCCGGGATTCGAACCCACACCCTCAGAATCAGGCAGCTAATCGCCAGCACACAAAGTCAGCCGCCTTACCCGCTCAGCCACCGCTATCCTAGAATCTGTACTTTACTAAGAAAGTGTAATCCCAAATATTACATATGTTACATTTGAAAGAATTTAAATTTAAAATCAAGTCACTTATTACATTTTCCTTTATGCCAAATAAAATGAGTTCTGCACTTAAATTCATGTACATATACCTTATTCAGAATTTCAGAAAAAGGAACAAAGAACTCTAACATTACCAATTTTAAATAGATATGCATTTGTTGCAATTACTCTGTGCAGCAGTCTATATTGATACCGTCGTAATTTTGTCTTGTGTAGACTTGAAAGGTTTTCGATAAATGTTTGGTTAATCAAAAGTTTGGAATATGACAGTGTCATCTTGCCATTTAAGCTGTGATTTAATGAAACTCTTGGAAGAAAGGAACATAAAGTAAAATCTTTTGGAATCTTTACCACAAATTGTTACTTATTGTTGTTGCAAGGACAAAAAAGGAACATACTGGAAATTTAATTATTCATTGCTTAGAGACTGTCATTACATTCATGAAATAAAGCAAGTTATTTCTGAAGTCGCTAAAAAGTATTCAAAACCTACCAGTATCAATGACTCGGACTCAGCGCCAGCTGATTTCACTATAAGTAATCAACTTTTCTTTGAAACTGTATTAATGGAGATAAGAGGGACAACTATTTCTTATTCATCTGGGTGTCTTGATGGAGTCCACACTGATTATGGACTGTCATATTCAAGAGCTATGTCAAAAAGGCCATTTTCATTTAAGAAACATCGGCAAAGTAAGGCATCTTATTTCCCAGGAAGCTGCCGCTGCATTAGTTCGAACACTGATATTCTCACGCCTGGACTATTGCAATAGCCTACTGTGTGGTGTGTCAGAAGAATCTGTTTCAAAGCTACAAAAAATACAAAATACTGCAGCCCAAATTTTGCGTCTTGCTCCAAAGTTTGCACATATACAGCCACTTCTACGACCCCTACACTGGCTGCCCATCTCAGCTAGAATTGAGTTTAAAGTTCTTGTATTCGCATACCAGTACCTTAACGGTATCGCGCCATCCTATTTGTGTGAACTTGTAAGCCAGTATAATCCAGCCAGAACTCTCAGATCCAAGTCCCAAATTCTGTGCACAGTGCCTAGATACAGACTAAAACGATTTGGATTCAGATCATTTGCCTATCAATCAGGTGTTCTATGGAATTATCTGCCCGAAGATCTCAAAACAGCCAAAAGCCTGCTCTCCTTCAAAACTCTCCTCAAAACGTTTCTATTTAAGAAGTACTTTGTCTAGACTCTCACCCAAATAACTTTACTTGTAGCGCCATGAGCATACCAGCTGGCGTGGACTTTGGCGCGTTACAAATTCACTCATTATTATGTTTTACAGATTAAAGACAGTATGCAGCAGAGAGGGTTCGGGTGATCCTGGCACAGTCAGGCTGGTAAGGCTCATCATCAGCTCAGGGCCCTTGCCCCCTCTACACGCAGCCCAGACAGCGAATGGGACTTCTCCCAGGAAACGCTGCCTAGTCGAACCCACCAAGAACTTTCCGGAGAATATGAAGGCTCCCCAACACTGCAGCCTTCTGCATTCGCTCTTGCACACTCTAGTAGTGTGGTTTTCAGATGGTTTGACCAAGATAGTCTTGATCGGGTGCTGTGCCTTCCCCTGGGGCAAGTCCCATCTCCAGTAAGGTTGGTTTGACTACCGGAGGAAGGCTGACTGGGCTGCGGAGTTGTTGTTAATATTATTATTAGTATTAGTATTATTAGTATTATTATTATTATTATTATTATCATATAACATTAAGGTAAGTCAATTTACATAACGTGAATGTTGGATCTTTGTCACCAACGCAATTCCACCAGACCGGTCATACCTGGACATCAGCAGTGCCGCTACACAGCCACCCACCGTAGCATAAAAACCAATCCAACCGGCATGGTCCTGAAAGGCAACAGTAGAATGCTTTATTACTGATTTCAAGTCTTCTTGAAGAGTTGTTTTCGTACTCAATTTAAGTATCCGCTCTGGAATGAGGTGAAGGGGCATGCATCATAAATATAGTCTCGTAACCTACGGACGGAGGACATATGAAATAGGATCAACGTATTATTCTCATCTGAATCTAATATTATCTTCACTCTCTTATCATACGAGCATACGTTGATATATATTAATTACATACAAGAATTATACATTAGTAGCATCCTTTGATATCTATACATAGGAAGGGGATAAAGATAAAGGGAGAAACGTTTGTTGAATAGCATTAACCTTAACATTGAAACTTATAAATCATTCACGCATATGTCCATTCCTAAAGATGTTATATCATCACCCATCTCTTCTCCAAGTTCTATCCTTGATACCTGCGCTTTGAGCAACCGCAACGGATGGAAAATAGCGCAATATAAATGCACTTATTATTATTATTATCAGGAAAACATCACTAGCAACGAAAATTAAGTTAATTTTAACATCACAAAAGTGAAAATAGACAGTCAAGGGAAAACTTTGTTTTACCTGGGCTGCCTACCGGTAGTTTGGATAGGAGTATGTGTATGTGAGTATAGTGTTACGCCGCACTCAGCAATATCACAGCTATATGTCTGTAAATAATCGAGTCTGGACCAGACAAACCAGTCATCAACAGCATGACAATCGATCTACGCAATTGGGATACGATGACATGTGTCAACCAAGTCAGCGAGCCTGACCACCCGATCCCATTCGTCGCCTCTTACGCCAAGCATTGCTTACTGAAGACCAATTCTAACCTGGATCTTTACGGGTGAAAATTAATAGAAATACTTATTACCTGTGATATACCAACACCATTCAGGACGACATCCAGCACAGCTCCAAACACGAGGTAAACTCCCGTTGGTATACTGAAGGCCGTCATTATCACCCAGAAGCGTCTATGCCTGCATCAGACACGAATAGACACTTGGAGGACACCGAATAGTCGTGCTGAGCTCATGAAGACCGTCATACGTTGATCGGTGGAGCCTAGAGTGTGTTTGCGTTTGTTTGTTTTGGGTGTGGGGGTGGGGGTGGATGTGTGTGTGTGTGCGCGCGTGCGTGCGTGCGTGCGTGCGTGCGTGCGCGCGGCTTGAGTTCACGTGTGTTCACGTGTGTGTTCACGTGTGTGCGTGTTTTCTCTCGACTGTATAAACAATAAAGACGTCTTACCAAATTGTGGACAAGCTTACATTTCCCCCAAAGCGATATATAGAGAACATATGTATGCTATAATGATTGTACTCTAAGTAAAGATTCAGTCTGGAAATGAAAATCGGTAGCTGTAACTTAATATCTTACGTGAATAATCCTCTGATCCCCTGTAGGTAGCTTATCCTCCCTATGGACGCTGTGAGACTTGGGGGAGACGGAGGCTTGGCGGGGAAGTACACCACCACCAGGAGCAGCAGCAACACACACATGGCACATTCTGTATCCACCACAATAAATAAGTAATAGCAATTCAGTCGTGCTATTACTGAGACACCATCCTCAGGAGAAGCATTAAATAAACACACAAACATGTGTACACTAGGTTCAAAAGTAATTGTCATAAGAGTATATGATATATGTGGTGAGTGAGTGAGTGAGTGAGTGAGTGAGTTTGGTTTTACGCCGCTTTTAGCAATATTCCAGCAATATGACGGCGGGGGACACTAGAAATGAGCTTCACACATTGTACCCATGTGGGGAATCGAACCCGGGTCTTCGGCGTGACGAACGAACGCTTTCACCATGAGGCTACCCCACCGCCCCATATGTGGTGTGTGTGTGTGTGTGTGTGTGTGTGTGTGCGTGCGCGTGCGTGTGCGCGAAAGAGAGAGAGAGAGAGATCTGGAATTGGCTTCAGAAATTGCATTCAAGCAGAAACCGAACAGAACGATGTGATAAGGGAATACTTGAACCCGCTGGGGCAACCCAAACGAGCTAGTGAGGAGACGTGTGAAAGTAGGCAATTAGACAGATTATGAGTAAAATGGAATCCTATCTTTATGATATTTATATTAAGAGTTTAATTCAGTGCATGGAGGAAGCGTTGATCACCTGTATACATGAGTCTCATGATACCGCTTCTCACCTCGGATATGTTAGCGGCTGGCGTCAGTTTGAATCCACTGGAGTTGAATCGACTTGAACTGCAACAAGGAACGACCAATGCAGATAATGACATAGGTGGTTCATGTAGAAACACAGAAGATAACAGGAAGGGTGATAGAATGTGTTCCGTTTCTTACTTTAAAGGTCGTATGTCGGTCATGTTCAAGGATGGTTCATCTGGCTGTGGCACCAAGAGCGGACCTGTAAACACAGTGAATGTGGGAAGTGGGTAATCTTTGGATAAGTTGGATTAAATAACAGCGACAAAATCGTGGATGACATTTGCTCTCATTTTGGACAAATTGGCCATGTTGAGCTCCACTGATAAAACAATGAAGTTTTGTTCAATTTAATGTGTGGAATATAAGCGTCCGTCGGTAGACGTTTACCTCCTGCGTAACGCATTACTGGAGATATTGCGAATTCGAACCTGAGATCAGCTGGTCCTGATGGTTAAGGAAGGCAACTCTATTTACAGAGTACCGTCCCCTTGCACTGCTTAGTCACCCGTGCTCCCTTTGGGCAACACTCTACGTCCTTCTCCGAAATATGCAACACTGGGGATATGTACACTTCACAAACAAGTAGTGTTGATACTGGGGTGAAGGTTAGGGGGTCTTGAAATTAAATGTTTAATTGGTCGTCAGGAAAGAGAATTCTTTTGAGGAGATCCAGAGATAGAGCCGTTTCGGAATCATGACCTTACACCGGCGTCATTTTGACTTCATCTGTGGTATTTGTGATCGGATTGGGAATAATGTGTCGTCCACAATGTGATGAAGGACTATTGGCGTGAGGTAGCCAATCGTTCCAATCTGTCTGATTGTGTAATCTGGAGACTTTGGAACAGCTTCAAATATTTATCCGCTCAGAACATTCTTGATAGGAGTTGTCCGGAGGAGTCCTGGTGAACGTCAGCACAAAGCAACATAACTGTTTCAGATTCTTGTAAACAATTGTTACCAATCGTGATCGCTCAACTCATTATCATCGCCAACCTTTACATTTGGACTGCACAATCCTGTAGTCTTTCCTGGGGTTTTCACACCCTTATAGTACAGCGCCAGTGCGTTCGTTTATTTGTCACACAACATCTTACAATTTCGTCTCCTTTTCGAACAATTACCATCACTTCGATGCCTCTTCGACTGTTTTTATAATTATCTCCTATTTTCGAAGCCTCTCAATAGTCCAAGACTCCAATGAGTTTTGTAATTGTGTAATTCCCCCTCGATCTCTATATGTGTATTTTACAATACCTGTATAATCATTATATCTATTTTTCATTCAGAACTTAAGACACGATTTCGAAGGAAAGTTCATAACAACTGCGGATACTCACCAATAATAAAGCCCACTGATATGCCAATGTAGCTAAAGATAGTTGACACGGCTGTTGCAGTGGCCCTCTGATTGGGGGGAAACCACGTGGCGGAGAAAAGGGCGGGGCCGGCCATAGGTACAGTACCAGCCATGCCAACTACTAAAGCTGCGGTGTTCATCAACCTGGGAGCAGAAGAACTGTCATAGTATCACAAGATATACGTCACAGATTTTAGGCAATACATTCACTGATCTGTGTAGCTGTCTATTAGTGCCTTGACCTGAATGCTGCATTACGAAAGAACATAAGTTAAATGTTCCTTGTACGATTATGCTAGCAAGCACACACTGTTGACATTCTGTGGTTTTAAGGGGAATTCATTTACTTAAACATTCCAGTGGAGCAACCAGTGCATATAAATAGTTGTTTTACTGAAACAGTTCGTGTAAACAACATACATTAAATGTGTTACATACCACTGAACATCAATACCTGACTGGCTGAGTTTGGTTTTACGCCGCTTTTAGCAATATTCCAGCAACATCACGGCGGGGGACACCAGAAATGGGCTTCACACATTGAACCCAAGTGGGGATTCGAACCCGGGTCTTCATTGAACATCAATAGCATAGACTAGATAACATGTACCAACTTGGGCGTCACACATTGTGGTGTCACCTATAACACATTATATTCACATATATTCATGTATATATAGCATGGCCGATATATACACTGGATTATAATATTCTTCATGGTCACATATAAAATATAAACCGCAGTTCCAAATATGCTGTTCACTTGAGTTTGTTTCAAAATGCAGAAGGGAATCGTTATATTCAATATACACTGGAATCGGCTGGATTATGTTCCATTTTTTTAATCACAAATCATATTTGCTAGGGTGACACAAATGTTATTGATTCTGGATTCACTAGATTCACTGACCATGTGGCTGGTACTGGGTCACTGGTGATGCATCGTATGGCGGTCGTAAACACCAGCAGCACAGAGCACAACAGCATTGATACCCGTAGTCCTGGAGCGAGAGGATGGGGAAGTACGCCTTATAGCTAAGTTAGTTAAACATTTGTAGCTGACCATCATAATCTTTAACATGCATGATTATGAAAGGATGATCATAACAGAAAGTGCTAGTAAAATCTGAGCGACATCAAACTGAAGTTTTAATAACTGTTTGTCCTCATAAACCAGTATAACATTTACATTCTCAAATGCTGCATGCAGTAGAGCATGAGGTGTTCTTTTAAAGTTACTTTATCTTAAATAGTGTGCTTGTGAGTGTGCAAGTGAGAGTATGTTTATTTTCGAGACCCATACAGCAAGGCAGCAAATCGCTAGCTCACAAGGTCAGCAGATTAGAGTGAGTGAGTGAGTGAGTTGAGTTTTACGCCGCACTCAGCAATATTCCAGCTATATGACGGTGGTCTGTAAATAACCGATTCTGGACCAGACAATCCAGTGATCAACAGCATGAGCATCGATCTGCGCAATTGGGAACCGATGAAATGTGTCAACCAAGTCAGAGAGCCTGACCAACCGATCCCGTTAGTCGCCTCTTACGACAAGCAGTCGCCTTTTATGACAAGAATGGGTTGCTGAAGACCTATTCTACCCCGGATCTTCACGGGTCTAAGCAGATTAGACCTCTCAGAGGAAAGGAAGTCAATTTTAGAAAGTGGTCAGAACCTCTGAGAATGTGGGTTTGTATTTGTATTTTACTAAGAAAATCTCATACAAAATATTACACTTGTTACATTTTACTACTTTTGGTGTTGTGTATTCGTAGTTTCGGTATAGGGGGCCTACTAAGTAACACGTTACAGAAGAGTACACAAAGTCCTGTAACTGAACTACAAACTTCCATTGTTTAGGAGTGAGTCAGTGAGTGAGTTTAGTTTTACGCCGCTCTCAGCAATATTCCAGCTGGCGACGGTCTGTAGATAATCGTTTTTCCAAAATCCAGAATCAACAGCGTGAGCATCGATCTCCATTGTTTATCCGCAGTGGCTGAATGGGTGCTGGTGACATAAAATCCGACGTATCCGCAGTTGTACTTTTAGAACCAAAAGACGTTAAAATATGGTACTTGTTGGTCCCTTCCTGGCGCTCGGCATTAGTGGGTACAAGAAGGACTGGTCGGCTCGGAGTCAGTATAATGTGTCTGAGTGGGGTATTCATGCTTCACTGCGGCATGGTATCTCAGTGAGCTAGCACTATAAAACCAGCTTAAGTCTGGGCTAGTACAAGCAGCCGCACATACACATACACACGCATGCACGTCGTCATATGAGCGAAATATTCTCAAGCACGACGTAAAACCCAATTTCACCCCACCTCACCTCACTTTTTACAAAGCGTAATTCCAAATTAATGCATGCAATTAATCATTTGTTAGATACCAGTCTAACCTATATAAATTAGAAGTTCGTATGATTAACGAGAGACATTATTCTGTGGATACAATGGAATTCTATGGAGAGACAAACGTTTGCTTAATATTGCAGTTATTATCGAGACACTAACGTCCCGCTCGTTGTAAGAAATAGGTTGTACATCAATAGATCTATCTCCGTTGAATATCAACTTATCTTATCTGTATGACAATGAATCAGTTGCAAGCCATCCTAATCAGATAAAGGTCAGAGAGACAACCGAACCCAATAGTTCCTGTCCTAAGAGCAGTTCATGCATATATTATTCAGCGAAGAATTCCAAATCGAAACAATAACTTGACCTGGAAACCTCAGGGATTCATTTTGAAACTAACGAACAGTAAAGAAATGTTATACGATTAAAAAGTGTATTATAAAATTTACATATTATTTGATTAATCTAATTACTGCAATGTTCGAACAATGGCAGTACACAATAGAGTTGCCGTACAAAATCCACTGGCAGTATAAAATATTAGTAGTAATAGCAACAGTGTCAGTAATAATAGAATATTCACTTAGTTTCGAAAATAGGTGAGTGAGAGAGTTTAGTTTTACGCCGCACTCAGCAATATTCCAGCTATATATGGCGGCGGTCTGTAAATAATCGTACCTAGACCAGACATATCAGTGATCAATAGCATGAGCAGCGATCTACGCAATTGGGATACGATGACATGTGTCAACCAAGTCAGCGAGCCTGACCCCCCGATCCCGTTAGTCGCCTCTTACGACAAGCATGGATCAGTGAAGATCAATTCTAACCCGGATCTTCACGGGTGCACCTTCAGGATAAATACTAGAAACAATGTAATACGATTACACACGCTGGTTTCCAGTGAATTACTCTGTAATATGCATTATGCTTGTAAAGCGCATTTTGTGTATATTCAATGAACATGATAATGAACCGTAACTGTAATCTTTGGAAAGATTCATCGAGGACAGATCCTTACCTTTGACATCCATCAGCCAGGCGACTGGAAACATAGACACAACGTACACAATATTCCCCCAGTTGTTCAACATGCCTATATTGGCATCCGACCACCCGAACACAGCCTCAGCTGACTGAGCAATAGGTCCGAATGTGTTCCACACGGCTGTCTGAAGAAGCGCAGCATAGGAGAACACCACCAAAACATACCACCTTCGCTTGTAACACGTAATGTTCCTTGAGGGATCTAACAGAGGAGAATTTTCATCTAATACCCTAGATGCCATGGAGGCTTTACGTTCACTGGGTTTCTTGTTTTCTTTATCTGAGCTGGATAACGAAGGTTGCGGGACATCAACACGTTCCCCGTCCTCCATTTCGCTGTTCTGAACTGAATCTGTTTTACTGACGCTTTCCATCTTGTCCTGAGGCTTGAATCAGCTGTGGACTGACCGAGGTATTGACTGCGCCCATACACATGGATGGTATCTCTAACGTTATCACCATCCGAGGTAACTGAGATATCTCAGTGGTCAACAGATAGTTCAACTTTGAATGATGACGCCGTTAATCCACTGCCTACCTTCAACAACTTTCACTCCACCCCCATTAACGCCGTAATACCAGTGATGCAGCACCGACCTATTTTTGTGCACAGGTTGACGGTTGAAGAGTGGCTTTCATGATTGTCATGCTACAGTAAAACCAACTGAATTGTCGGACAACGGCGCACATGTGTGCATGAGTCGCACGTGCTTTTCGACCCTTGAACGCTTAAGCATGCATGTTTAGGGCTGATACTAGTTTCAATTGTGCCATTTGAAATGCATGGTAAAGAGATTACCACGCTCGAAACGGACATTGCTACCGTGCTGGTCGCCGCTTTACTGAGTGCACATAAAATATTGTGATCGTTTCATTGTGTTCGGCATATGCCTGCCTTCAGTGTCCTTTGAGGAAAGTTTTGAAAAAAATAACTTTCTGGTTCGTCTGTGAAGGTAAATTTGGAGCATGTTCCATGTTGTACTTGAATCTTAGTGGAGGTGGATTGCTCGTGGATCGTAACATTTTTACTCGTGTAATCTGTTCGGGGTGTATCAACAGAAACATGTTCAGTAAAATCAAAATGTTTACCTTGGTCTTTCAATGTTACAACTAAATGTAACCGAAATTCCCAATGTCATCAACCCGTGAAGGTCCGGGTTAGAATGAACTTTCAGCAACCCATGCTTGTCGTAAGAGGCGACTAACGGGATCGGGTGGTCAGGCTCGCTGACTTGGTTGACACATGTCATCGGTTCCCAATTGCGCAGATCGCTGCTCATGCTGTTGATCACAGGATTGTCTGATCCAGACTCGATTATTTACAGACCGCCGCCATATAGCTGGAATATTGCTGAGTGCGGCGTAAAACTAAACTCACTCACTCACCCCCAATGTCATCATAGTGCTTTGTTTCACTTCACACAACAATACTCGACAAAATATAATAACGACGAAAATGGTTAGCTCGCTTTTCTTGGTCATCAGTTTAGTATCAAAATATCTATGAATTATTACTCATGATCACAGAATTTGTATAAAGGCAACAGTAATTAGCAGCACCAATATCCATTCCGTCATGAATAACGCTTGAAGGAAGAATCACATCAGTTTATGATTTTGTGGTACATTTGCTCCACCCTGCATTATATCCATCTCTTCAAAGACTTTGCTTCAGCTTTTGAGTCCAGTACAAAACATGAATGGTCCTAAGTTTAAGAGTATTGTCATGTGCTGTAAATACTATCCCCTTTTGTGTAACAAATAAGACGCCGCCATATAGCTGGAATATTGCCGAGTGCGGCTTTAAACAACAACCAAATCAAACCAAACATATAAAACTACACAGTCCCTAAAAGGCTATTTCGTGCTTAGTTAATTGTTAATGATTTCCGTTCATGTAACATTTGTCTCCCTCATGCTCAATCTCATTTTGTCAGCCTGTAACCTCGTTCAGAGAAGTGCCTTTCGGGTCGTTTTCATCCAACGTTTCCCTTGGATGTGCATTATGCATGCACATACATGTGAAACAGAACCGTTACTACAGATGACATGAAAAGTGACACAACTTAATGATGAGTTTATTCTGACAGCTTCGGGAGCTGTTTCTGTGAATGCTTGATGAGCAACATCAGTATTTCTCTAAATCGTTAACGTCATTCTAGTGAGTGAGTGAGTTTAGTTTTACGCCACTTATAGTAATATTCCAGCAATATCACGGCGAGGGATACCAGAATGGGCTTCACACATCGAGCCCATTTGGAGAATCGAACCCGGGTCTTCGGATTAACGAGTGAATGCTTTAACCACTAGGCTACCCCACCGCCCCTAACGTCATTTTATACATGGTTTGTATTAATTGTTCACAAATCCATGAGTGTGGTTTAAGTCAACAACCTACGAGGACATACATGTACCAGACAGAAGCAAACCAGAACAATGACACTGAACGTATGTAGGCAATCAATGTGATGACATGTAAAAGACAAGGCAAGATACATTTACTACATTGTCCATAGTTGCAATTTCATAACTAACCGTATTTATATATCGTGTTATTTGCATCATGTTGATAAATATAAAAGAACTTAGTTAAGCACCCCTGACAAATCTCACGATTGAATGAGCCCCGATCTTAACCCTTTGGAGCATAGCTGGGACGTGATTGGTCGTCGTGTGCAACAAAGGGATCCTCCTGTACTGAACCTGGCCCAATTTGAAGCTACTTTACACGAGGAATGGCGTATACTGCTCCTTAGAGGATCAGGAGGCTGACAGGGGGTATGAGGAGGAGTGTGCTGGCTGTCACATGGAAGTTACACTCGGTATTGACCTTGAATCGTGTAAAACACGAAAAATGACATTTTGAATATTGGTCAGTTAGATAGCAAGCTGAACTCCTCATAGCCATGTACAGTAATACAAGCACCAATGTCCACTGATCCCTCTTTACCAATCTTCGGCCTGTCAAAGATGTATCCATTATGCTATCAGCTAACTTTCATGTTTGTATTTGTCGATGCGACGCACCACCCTGATCAGACTCAGGAACGATGACTTTGTGTGTGTCAATATCAGTCCGGGTGTAGTTTTCTTTGAAAAACAGAAGTAGAGGAACGGCTACTGCTGCGGAGCCCAGCATGGCCCAGTTCATCCACTCAACACCTGCAAGAAATATGGGGACTTCAAATGTCATGTGAGTGAGCGAGTATGGTTCTTTTCCGCTTTTAGAAATATTCCAGCAATATCACGGCCGGCTTCACACATTGTACCCGTGATCCGTGCATACTGCACCAACGTTATTATTAATCATATTATTACTATAAACGTCAAAACATGTATTTTAAAACGATCATAATTCATCTCTCCATCATAAACGTTAACACAACATGCAGATATGTAAGATCTGAAGGTGTCAGTACACTACGGGATAAAGTGGTTCAATGGTCTGTTTGAACGAACCTGATTATAAACCTTGGCCGGTGAACGTTTTATCAGTTAAATACTTCTTCTACCTGCGTTACCATTGGCTGTAGTCCCACATGTATTTGGCACGATGCCGAACACGTTGTTCAGTTAGGTCTTAAACACAACTTACTCGATTCCAAATAACACCATTTCTTGAGTTTACTTGAGAGTGAGTGAGTGAGTGAGTATACTTTTACGCCGTGTTTAGCAATATTCAAGCAATATCACGGCGGGCGACAACAGAAATGAGCTTCACACATTGTACCCATGTTTGGAATCGAACCTGGGTCTTCGGCATGACGAGCGAACGCTATAACCACTAGGCTACCCCATCGACCCGTTTACTTGAAACGTGAACATGGCGGTGTACCTATTTTCGGGATTTGCAGCACAGACAGGAACAAGACTCCAGTCAGGTTGTTGGCGAGGGTTAGAACACCGGTTGTCGTACCCTCGGAGATGGGATAAGACGCTTCACATCCCATCTCGTAGAACAGGGGAACAGAGCTATTGATGAAGATCCCCATCAAGATGAAAGACAGGTACAGCGACGCTGTAAGAGAGTGAGTGAGGTTAGGTTTACACCACTTTTAGCAATATTCAAGCAATATCACGGCGGGGGACACCAGAAGTGGTCTTCACACTGTGTACCTATGAGGGGAATCGAACCCGGATCTTCGGCGTGACGAGCGAAGCCTTTAACCACCAGGCCACCGCCCCCACTGAAAGACATCATTAGGTACAAGGAGACATTCCCTTGTTCGTTTGTCGCACACTGAAACCGATTCCACATGTTAAAGTGTTTGCATCTTTACCATCGAGGTTCACATGTCATATCTGGACCTGATTGCTTACATATATGCCCTGACCGACTCACCTATACTGAAGGAGATGACAGACAGACGGATCAGGACAAACCAGAGTGTAGCGACTGTAGCTGCGACGAATAGGACTAGCAGCATCATCTTCATGTGACGTTGAAACAGATCAGCAATCCTTCAAGGCAAGAATGCATACGATGATCAAATGTGTCAGGTGACTAACTGAATGAATAGGTTTTACGCCACCTTTAGCAATATTCACAGCGGGGAACAACTGAATGGGCTTTACACATTGTTCCCATACGAGGAAACTTGGGCCTTCCTTGTGACAAACTAACACTTTCCCCACTGACCTATCCAACCGCCCCTTAATATGTCAAGTATAGAGCACGATGGGCGTAAGTTGAATCATCGGACTTTGCCGTACATTCTGTCTCATACTTCATCCTGGCATACACACCTAGACATCAACAGAGCCGCTACACAGCCACCAACTGTGGCATAAAAGCCCATCCAACCAGCTTGGTTCTAAAAGAAAAAGGAAATACCAAAAGAGCTGATTCATAAAGTTGCACATTAAACAAGCCTGCGCCATTTCAATATGGCCAGGCAAAATACATTGCCTGTACTGCGTTATGAAAATACATTCTGCGACGGCAATGATGCGCCATCAGTACCTGTGTTATTCCGACACCGTTCAACACCAGATCCAGAAAAGCTCCGAACACGCCAAATACACCCGTCGGAACACTATAGGCCACCAGGATTATCAGGAAGCGTTTTTGCCTGCACAAGGAAAAATATCAAATTTGAAAATAATTCGTTTAACAGCCAAATTCTTCTCTGGGCATCAAATAGTCCCTCATTACTTCATCAATCGCAAGGAAAAATATTTCGCTATACAGAGTTGCTCCCCTTGAGCGTGCTGGAAATATGTAGTCAGTTCGATGCCCAGATTGGCAGATAATGGTTCAAGGTTTATCAGCATCATTTCTTTGTCCGTATATTTCAATAGTAATATATGGTCTAGACCTATATTACTTTCAAGTTTGTTTTTCCTTTTTTTATGGCACAGGCACACCATGGTGTAAATTATATACTGCATTAAACAGGCTGCAGGGCATATCTTAGACAAGGTATGTTATCAGCTGTTCAGCACACGGAACTATCTTTCAGGAACGTCTTTGAGTACATTTTGTATGATTTACAACTGATGTCACTACTACATATTGAATCATCCAAATGGTAATTTGAATAAGGATAAAGACAATAAAAGGTAAACCAGTCGCACTTTGTAGGGTCGTCTTTTGTCGGTCCAACTGTTTTTGCAATGTATTATGTATTATGTTCAGCCGATTGCATATGTATGAATGCGTTGTAAACCGTAAATAGAATATCGGTGCTAGTTGAACCGAAAACCATCAACACTGAAGATTAAGCTGAGTTTCAATGAGATGGGTTGGGAATATAGTACCACTATTAAAATAGTAATCTGAATAAGGATAAAGACAATAAAAGGTAAACCAGTCGCACTTTGTAGGGTCGTATTTTGTCGTTCCAACTGTTTTTGCAATGTATTATGTTCAGCAGATTGCATATGTATGAATGCGTTGTAAACCGTAAATAGAATATTGGTGCTAGTTGAACCGAAAACCATCAACACTGAAGATTAAGCCGAGTTTCAGTGAGATGGGTTGGGAATATAGTACCACTATTAAAATAGATCACAACCACAACCATCTTACGTGAATAGTCCCTTAAGCCCCTTGAGGTAACTCGTCCTCCCCAGGGATGCTGTGAGACTGGGGGGAGACGGGGGTTTGGCGGGGAAGTACACCACCACCAGGAGCAGAAGCAGCACACACGCCGCACATTCTGTATAGTATAATGAAGCAGTTAACACGAGGAATAGAGGGAGATAATATTGTCACAAGAAGCATGGCATGACAGGCAGAATAATACTGATTTTAGATGTCTTAGTTAAACGTGTTATTCTCAAACGCAGGGAAGTAACATTAATAAAATATACCTTGTAAAAGACACCAAAATGACTTCACAAAATATACCCATATGTGCAAAGTGAACCAGGAAATGTGACATGGCGACGAAATCACATATAGCAATCGAGGACTAAATGTGTTTCATGTTTAACATCGTCTTTACTAGGGCTGCGACGGGTAGGAAAAAATGGAATCGAGTACCCGCATGTGCTTACCCGAATCGGAATCGAGTACCCGGAAATGTAAGGAATACAGTGCTTCTGTCAATTGTCTGAATATTCAATCACGAGTTCACAGAGAATATTATAGAAACTTGAAAGGATGGCAATAAGACATTAAAACAGATCTTAGGCTATTTAGTTTAACATAAAGAGTAACAGCATTACTTACATTCCTCGTTAAAACACAGAACCTTTAGTTCCCGCCGCTCATGCGTAGATAAATTACAGTCGTTAATAATAACCTTCATTAATCGGACAATACCTATGATGTAAATGTGTGTTACGTCAATTATGAAAAAGACAAGTTATTATCTGCCCTATCTGAGTTCTCTCCCTTTCCGGGTACTCGATTCCTACAAATAGGACTCGATTCCAGGTGTACCCGACCCTGATTCGAGTACCCGAGTACCCGTCCCAGCCCTAGTCTTTACTATACAGTTTAATTCAGTGCATGGAGGAAACGTTGATCACCTGTATACATGAGTCTCATTATGCCGCTTCTCACCTCGGATATGTTAGCGGCTGGCGTCAGATTGAACGCAGTGGAGTTTATTTCATCTGACGAACTGCAACAAAGAACGACCTCCTGGGGTTAGAGGTAGTCGTAACAAAATGGTTAAGTTTTGAAACGAAGGTTTTGTTTGTCGCAACAGTGAAGCGTTCCTTACTTTATAGAAAGTATGTCAGTCATGTTCAAGGATGGTTCCTCCGGCTGTGGCACCAAGAGCGGCCCTGCAAGTAAAAAAGTGTATTTATCACGTAAAGTTGTAGGTGTCATTTTGGTCAGATAAAGGATACATTCTAACACATATCGCTTCTCTGCAGTTGCATCTCAATACTTTACAGATCATTGTGACGTCATCGGTTACCATAACGCCACGTTCAAATGGCGTCTTAAGTATCTCTGCCACTGAAGCGGCTTGGTGAAGCCACTCGGGTTCATACTCGTTCATTATACTGCAAAGATCTCACACACAGTGATCGGTAATTGTAAAATGAAACAGTGCAACCTGCAGGGTGTAAAGAATATCGATACGGACACTGTCACAAGCAGTCAAGGAAATTACGTATAGACCATGAAATCTGTTTCCGCGGATATCCGAGATTGGTTATTCTCTGGCCTTTACGTTGTGTGACTATCTGGCAATTCGAACAATTGTTTTGTGAATCAGTAGAATATATGGAATCACCAACTAGTCTATGTGGATAATTCTGTCCCCTTTTCTTCTTAAAAGGCATTATAAAAGGCATCTATGTGCATGTTATCTCCAAATCTGTTCCTGTCCATCTGGAGCTGAACTATTCAGCACCTGTATTGGGTTTCGGAGGGCCTTATTTGAAACAATTGCTGATATGCCGATAATGTACAAACGGTCTACTCACCAATGATGAAGCTAACAGACAGGCCGAGGTAGGTGAAAATAGCTGACACAGCTGTAGCAGTGGCCCTCTGTTTGGGGGGAAACCACGTGGCTGAGAGGAGGGCGGGACCGGCGAATGGCAGAGTACCAGCTACACCATTCACAACAGCTGCGATGTTCATCAGCCTGAGAAAAAGGTCACACACAGATCATAGGAGTTTTCATAAAATCATGAGTAAATTAGATAAAATGAGTGATGCCTATATTTATAACAAAGGATGGATACGATGCATCAATAAATCAAGCAAACCATGTTATGTAGAGGGACGTGTTACATCACTATTGTGACTTAGTTGAACTGTCTCTCATGTCACTTACTTGCCTCACATACTACACGGACCATTGGTTAGTGATTGGGTTTAATTTTACGCCGCACCCAGCATGATTCCAGGTATATATGGCGGCGGTCTGTAAATAATCGTGTCTGGACCAGACAATCCAGTGATCAACAGAATGACAATCGATCTACGCAATTGGGATACGATGACATGTGTCAGCCAAGTCATCGCATGATGTTGTTCGTGTTGTAATGTGTGTGTAATGGATATATGTATTTATTGTAATTCCAGCGTCCATAACGCAAGACACATTCCCTTCTTGGGCAATAAAGTATTATTATTATTATTATTATTATTATTATTATTATTATTATTATTATTATTATTATTATTAAGTCAGCAAGCACGACCTCCCTATCCTATTAATCGCCTCCAACGACAAGCATGGGTTATTGAAGATCAATTCTAACCAGGGTACTCACAGGTCGTACCAATGGGGCTGACTGCAAGTGTTAATAGTGCTGGTCGACAAGGGTCAGTCAGTGTAGTAATACCTTTTCTGTTTATGTCTTAACGGTTCTTTTTAAGGGCTTGATCGCTAACTCCTCATTTCACAAGCCATTTGAACCTACAAGACCTGATCGCCTTCTCGCCAATGATTCCAACAATCCTCTACTTTCTTTGTACAATATATAAAGTGACATTTAGAGGGTCACATGTAGCATTACATATACCCTGCACTGAGATGTTAGTTATATAATACATTCAGTGTATAGTTTTGAGGTACTGACCATGTCGCCGGTACTGGCTCACTAGTGATGCATCTTATGCCCGATAAAAACACCATCAGCCCAGAGCAAAACAGCATTGCTATCCGTAGTCCTGGAGAGAGAGAGGTAAATATGTCTTAAAGCTCAATGAAACCTTTGATAAGGAGTTGAGGAGAAGAAGTGGAGGGTCAGTTCACAAAAAATCAATGTGATTTATAATAAATCTTATACTTCTGTGTATAATGGATGGGTTCAACATAAGCAGTTGATAACATATCCTTTTACGTTACCCGGAGAGCGGAAGGTTGCGGGTTCGATCCCCGACCGCGTCAAACCAAAAGACGTTAAAATATGGTAATTGTTGGTCCCTTCCTGGCGCTCGGCATTAATGGGTACAACAAGGACTGGTCGGCTCGGAGTCAGTATAATGTGTCTGAGTTGAGTATTCATGCTTCACTGCGGCATGGTATCTCAGTGAGCTGGCACTATAAAACCAGCTTCAGTCTGGGCTAGTACAAGCAGCCGCACATACACATACACACGCATGCACGTCGTCATATGAGCGAAATATTCTCAAACACGCCGTTAAACCCAATTTCACCTCACCTCACCTCCTTTTACGTTAATGGTCAAGTCGAAGCTTAATGTAGTCATGATAAAAAGAAAACCAATGTGCTTACTCCTGTTACCTGCATCATTTCCTTCCGTTACTTGAGTTAAAATAGTGACGTACCATTTCAACTGTTAACGCATTGGATCCAATCAATCTTTTCCTCAATGTAGGCAAAACAAAAGATGGATTTAAATGAACAGCTTCTAACTATTGAGGGGGGCGGCTGGCTCGTCACCAAAGGCGTCGAATGTCGTAATGCAAAGTTCCGTCTTACGGTAGAATATTTTGATCGAAGCTTCGAATGACGGTCGGCGACTTATGTTTCGATTTTGTTCAACAACGTACTGGTAAACATGGGTTACTACAAAGGGGTAAACGTCTAAGACGTGCACCACTTTAAACGTTTCATCACGAATAGAGAAGAAACGCTCGAAATAAATGGAATACTGTTCGAAGAGACGTTAAATCAGTTTATTCGGTCACTAGCTTAGTTTTGTGAAGTCAGTATTTAGGACATAAACGTACTGTGTTTGAAAATTAGATTAATGTTACGCTGAATTAATAATCTCTTAATTTCATCTGAAAAAGGACGGATACCTTTGCCGCAAGTTTGAAATTTGAAGTGAGTGGAAGAAGATACTGGACTGACTGACGAATCTGAGTGGGTGACTCAGTTTGGTTGTACGGTTTTTTTGGTTTTAGCAATATTCCCGCAATATCACGACGGGGCACAACAGGAATGGGCTTCACACATTGTGCCAATGTGGGGAATCGAACCCGGGTCTTCGGCGTGACGAACGAACGCTTTATCCACTAGACTACCCCACAGCCCATGTCTGAATCTGCAGAATAGTACCCTTTCTGATCGACTGACGAGTCAGTGTTGTAACTCATCAAAGACTGTTGATTTTAATGACAAGGTGAGTTTGATGATTTAACGTGCCTCTATCCCGGCATACGACAAAAGAGTAGCAATGGTGGCCCTATCCAAATGATTTGTGTAAATGCGATAACTTAGGAGTCCTTGGAAAATGTTTTCGTCATCTGGAATTGTGGCCAAGCTGTTGTGTACCGACATGGATCACCAGCAGTCACAGTGTTTCGGGGAAGCTGGTAAAGAGTTGGATACTGGTGGTTCAATTTTGACATGTACTTGTTGAACGATGCAATGGGGAATGAAAGTGAATGAGTTTCATACATTATGGGTTTCGCCTGACCCTTATCTTGCAAAGTTCCGCACAAAAGTTTCCAAGGTCTGACTACAGTTATTCTTTAGGATGTGCTTGAAACCTACAGGATACATCATGCTGTGTAAACCATTCTAAACGGAAATAGATATACTGTTTACTATGTAGGCAAATGTTTTACTAACATTTTTGCTATTAATTTTGTATAAAAAGGATGTGTTTTTACAAGGTTTTTGATAAGTTAAATATGGTTTGTTTATTGTTGTGCCTATACATCGTAACTGAATTTGAATATTCTTATAAGAAAGGCTAATATGATAAGGAGGTTCTCCAATAAACGTGGAGGAAAAAAATCATATATTTGTAATTTCCAGACACAGTTCTAATAAATGTTTTATTAATAATATTTCCGTCACGTCTGTTGTGTTGATATCAGCCATGTTGGTGGCCAAGCGGAAGTAGTGCGGCAGTGGTGCACACGTGCGCAGTGAAGCGGTCATATAATCAGACTTATTTTTCAAACCAAATTGATTGTGTCTAATTTAATTGACTGTCCAATTAAATGCAAATGTTTCACTTAGTCATTGAAGAATGTCTATTGTCGATCTAGCTAATAATAACAAAATGTTTGACAAATCTTCCACGTGTTCCAGTCGAACAACATCAGCTTATCTTATCTACAGTACTTTGATCCAGCCTTACCAAGTCATGCAAGTATAGGTCAGACTAACCTGTCTTACAGACCCTAAACCATTATCATGTATATCTTCCTTTCCGCCAAGCTCTGTAACTCTACAGATCTAAATGAAGCATGTCAATATTTTCCAGAGGTTCCAAGGGGTGGGTTGGGTACACAGACATCCCACGCAGTATTTACCCAACAATTTTCTATGGGAGACATTTGCTTTTAAGCAGACTGCATATGTAATGAGACTACACATATCAGTTGTTTGTTTATGATGTAGCTTTAAACGCACATGTAACAGCGCAGTCTATGGTCATATTTATATATATATCCATATTAACTTTTCGTATACAACACATGAGAGACAGCAAACATATTTTCATGCATGGTATATATATATATATATATATATATGTGTGTGTGTGTGTGTGTAGGTTTGTAAATACATATGTTTTCTAAATTTAATCTTTCATATATTTCTTATCAGAATAGTATTGTTATCTTCAGAATCTATAGCAGCTGGTTTCTAATAAAGACGTACTCAATGCATATGGTAATAATGTAATATAGATCAGGTATATGAGCATGCACATACGTTTTGTCAAGGACAGACCCCTACCTTTTACATCCATCAACCAGGCCATCGGAAACATGGATACCATATACACAATGTTTGCCCAGTTGGTCATCATGCCAACATTGGCATCCGACCACCCGAACACAGCCTTAGCTGACTGAGCAATGGGTCCGAATGTGTTCCACATCACGGTGTGAAGAAGAGCAGAATAGGAGAACACCATCAGAACATACCACCGGCTCTTGTAGGACTTAATGTTCCTCCTGGAGTCCAACAAGGGTGAGAGTTCATCTGATTCTGTCGGGAACTCATTGGAGGTTACATGTCCGTTACCTACACTGTTTCTCCATGAAGGAGGTAGATGGTCTTCAACACCATGCTTGTCCTCCATGTTGTTATTCAGAAGTGGCTGTGATTACCATCGGCTTCCAACGTGAAATGAGGCTCGACTTTGTATCCCCAGCTGACTGTACAAGTCATTCAGTACACACATGCAGCTTGTCTCAATCGTTATCGTCTGATAACTCACCGTCACATTGGGATGCTGTCCGAGCTTAGATACACGGGGCCCAATCTCACTATCTCTTGCACAGCTGGGTAATGAAAACGTGTGACGTCCATCGTCATAACACCTTGAACACCTGGTGTCATGCCTGATTTTCATTGATCCATTCATATATTTTCACCGCTATTTTCTCCTTTACAGCAAAGGGAATTGGTTTCTGGGGACAGTTAAGACTGGATACATTATATGGCCTAAATATATTGATATGTATTTTAATGATCTACCGTTTTCTTGTTATGTTCTTTTTGACAGTATGGGTTGAGACGAGTTTAGGTGGTATGGGTTTGGTGGACGAGGGAAGGGATAGACGAAAGTGGTTGACGTCGTTTTGAAGATTACTCCACGTTCAATCTTGCAAAGGTTTTGGTCAGAGCCACCAATATTCCGCTCTCTGTGGAGACGCTCTATCCACTTGACCACTGAGGCGAACATGTTTGAGAAAAGAAGACGAAGCATAATCCATTTTAATGCTGTTTCGTCTGAATGTTAATACTTTTAATGTGCCCAGCTATTTGCAAGACATATATGTAATTATGTTTGTAATTGTAACTCTTTGTTTCCAAATGGCTCGATTGGTGGATACAGATTGGTGTACTTATTGTTTGGCACCGGAGAGGCACTGCAAATGACAGCCTCTGAACATATTTTTGTTTTCTTAGCGACAATGAGATTCACAGGCCGGAAAATCTAGAATTGTTTCATTTAGGGCTTCCCATATAATTGGAGTAGGGCGGAAGGGAAAACAATGTGGTTCAGAGACTGTGATACAGGACATATAAGGGCGTTTATATTGTGTGGTATATTTCATCTCAGAAAGTGCTTCACTAACTGCATTGCTACTCCACGTGGATGGTTGTCACCGTAATGTATTCTGTAAAGGGCACCAATGTTACACTGCGTTCTACTATCCTCTCTTGCCCACAGTCAACTGACAGTAAAGCCTTGTTAATGTGATTGTTAAAGATTCATAAAAGAACCTTTACTACCAAACTGAAACATGAGACATCGCATGACCTGTTGATGGCACATTTTTAAAACATTTGGAGTTTCCTCGATGAATACTTAGTAAGGAATATCTGACGTTATTTCAGACTGTTCATAATTGTTTCTGCTCAGTAAACACAATCCTGTTTGCACAACAACAGTGAGAAAATTCCTAGTTTTTGTTAGGCTGATGGTAGACGTGGAACTTTTTTGCGTAGAGCACTAATGGCATATAATACAGTTCCATAGAATGAGCTGATACATGGGGTTTTCTATTCAATCAGATCTTGTGTTGTGAGAACACTGACGTTGAAATAAGAATGGAAGGGGTCTTGTATTCTTTTTCTTGACCCTGATACAGCTACAATAAAGTACTGACAATAAAACATCCACCTGCCGAAGTTCCATACACTTGTCACATAACGCAGATAACGGAGTTATAAATCTCGACAGAAAGGCAAGAAAACGTTACGAATAGCTCTGGGAATTCCGTGGAAAGTCCCATATCTTCACTTGAGAAGTACTTGAGGACGATGAGAGCTTTTGACTTGAATTCGTTTATATCAGGTTGGACGTTCCAAAGAGGTCGACCGTCCTTGCATAGCATCGGTTACTAAGTGATATAGTTCTGGTTTGAGCACAAACAGGAGCTTACTGGTACCACACATGAGTGATCTTACTTGTCGATTTTGCTGTACCAGTTCACAGATGGTAATATCTTCTTATTTTCTATGACCGATTCTATACGGATATTCGTTTGATCAAAGAGTAAAGTCAAATCCATGAATATGATGTTAAAGAGATACAAGAGATATCATAGAAAATCCTGACATGGTAGACTGATCTTATAGTTCTTTCTACCGTTTTGTAGAACACGGACAAAGGTGCTCAGATTTTCAATGCAACAGACCTTCTGGGGGGGCAAATCAATGTGATGACAGCAAAACAGCCAGACCACACAGTACATTCTAACGGAGTAACGAGACATGTATTATATCTGTATGTATTCCACTCATCGTAAACCTGTACTCGAGAGTTCTATCCCATGTATTTTATCATCTTTTGCTAGCGGACATTTGCAGTTATGTAATCCTCCATTGCACACACACCCTTGTGGTACTTACTATTTATTACCCACGTGGTCAACGTATGGGTAGTTGCATACTAATATCGTACGTCACACGAGTGTCGTATCGCGTTGACCTGTGTCGTAACGACTTGACCTGAGATTCTAACGATTTGATTGGATAACCGATGACCTCTCAGTTATGTCACGTTGTGACGGAACTACTTGTCCATTCATAACAAACACGTGAATTCATTAATTTTACAAATTATATGCATTGTGGGAGCCGTATCACTGTTTAATTGTGACTCGAACTGAGACAATATATCCGTCGAAAAACATAAACGCAATGGTTCCACCGGTGATGTTAGCCGAGTGAAGCAACTGCAAACCAAGTAAATGGTGCTATGGAGTAGTTTACTGTAGACGGCTGTACGAGGCGATGACAACTGACATGCATCGTGACGTCGGTTAAGAAGGTGACAGACGAGAATGGCTTAGTGACGTCAATACAGTGTGACGTCATGCAAAAGTGACTACAGAACAAAATTCTTCCGCAATCGATTTATGAAACCGGTTTCGGTTTGAAACCATAACAATAACAAAAATACGCCATTTTGTCAATTTAATGCGTGTAAGACGCGGGTAATAAATAAAATACCATACTCGGTCTCATTACATACGAATTATACGAAACTCGTGACCTTAGTATGGTTTCTGACCTCGCTTTCGCTCGGTCAGATACCATAGGAAGGACACTCGTTTCGTATAATTCGTATATAATGAGACCTCGTGTAGTATTCTGTATATATCGTATTCTCAAGGTCACTAGCTAATTACCTTCACGTAGTACATGTTTTAATATTTTTCATATATGTAGCACAGTGAACGTATGAAAACATTGAATAATTTTCTGTTTACTCTTTCTGTTAGTGTGCAATTCATATGTAGGCTCGGATGGTCTATGAACTCTACACATGCATATGACCGGATGTACCGTTACTGAATACCGTTCAAAGAAACAATAAACCAAAACTGTGATTTATTAACATACATCAAGGACACAATAACATTGCCAAACGCTAATTTAAACACCAAGAAGAGGCTTCCGGAAGGGAATACCTGTTTTCACCAACACGGCTTAAAGAGCTAACGAGTACACCATTGAAATGTCATTCTCCGTCTTGTTTCAATGGTTGAATAAACAGGCAAAACATTCAGGCATCTCTTCATGTCGTATATGTGCGTTACACATTTCTAAGTCACCATTACACCAAAGACAGTGTGTTGTAAAATCACGTACATCACGCAACTAACTCTTGTATGGAAGTTAACCCTACGAGCTCACAAGACCTGTGTTCGATAACATATCTACGTGCAACGGTTTTATCTACATTGGGACCACAGTGGGAACAAGGTCGAGTGAAACGTGACAAGTGAGTGACGTCAAATCAATCATTATGGCAGTGTATGAAATAAGGCCCGTCCGACCGCCCCAGACGGCCTAGATTTCATACGGACGGTCTGAAATTACAGCTAGCCGGCCCGATGGTCTGTTAAAATTTTTAGACGTTCCATACATGTGAGGAAATTTACCATATTAACCATTGGTGTCTGGTCAGGTTAAATCCATTTGGGGCTGGTAACATTTTTAAGTTACTAGCCCTGATGTCTTTCTGGGTTTTTTTTGGCTAATTTCATACACGGATTATTGTGCCATGATATTGGCCCCGCCAACAAACTGACAACTGGCTAGACAGCTAGGTCGTTTACCAGCAAACACCATCTCATTTCTGGTGTCCACCGCCGTGATATTACTGGAATATTGCTCAAACGCGGCGTAAAACTAAATTCACTCACTCACACTCCTTTTATCCACGTCAAGTATTAGTAAAGAGATCCACGTCTAGACTAAGCACCTGTTCGCCAATCATCTGCCTTTACACTGTCAGTATGTGTGATGTTTTCCTGTCAACCAACTTTAGTGTTGGTATTGATCGACGTAGCACGATATGGATCAGGTTCCGGAACAATTATCCTTTGTGTGTCTATGTCAGTCCGGGTGTAGTTCTCTTTGAACAACAGAAGTAGGGGTATTCCAACCGCTGCAGAGCCCAGGGTTGCCCAAGGCATCCACACAACGCCTGCAAGAGATTCAGCGATATATTGGAATATACTAGTATTGGTTGAATACGCAGTCACATTTACATGGGACTATTTGTAACCATAAAGCTGAAATACATACATGTGAAATTTCTATTTACTCATTGACAAAATATATCATTTGTGAAGTTCATACTTAAGTGACACATGTGAGAGACACATTTAGTATTTTTTATACGTGTAAGGGTGCTTGATCTTGTTAGTTTGGACGTGCACAGACACACAGGTAACGAACTGTGCAACAATTTAACTCATTAGAGTGGCTACCATATCCAGGTCTGCGTTACAGAGATCCGTTAGATGATGTTCTTTGAAAAGTTGTTTCGTTTTGTTCAATGGCAGAACTCTGTTTTTGTGCAATTCGTTTATGCACTTTGGTATAAAATGCATTTTGGAAATGTTTCTTAAAGCTGGTAATTTTGTTTTAGGCGCAGAAAAAATATTAACATATCTGTAAAATGTGCATTGGTATACGGGTGGTTCGGATGTTTCAGGATACGTTTATGGATACGGTTTCAGGAAAAGGGTCATCCATAATTGATCGGATTATGCAAAAAACCTCTGGACTAACGCAAACTACTTGAAGCAGCCATGACCTTGCAGAAGATGTAACGATGCGGGGTTACCTATTTTCGGGATCTGCATGACAGACAGGAAGATGACACCAGTCACGTTGTTGGCGATGGTGAGGACACCGACCGTCACACCCTCAGCAATAGGATAAGACGCCTCACACCCAAGCTCGAAGAACAGAGGTATAGAAGCATAGATGAAGACTCCCATCAAGATGTTGGATAGGTACAGTGACCCTGTTGGAGGAGAATAAAATCGACTAAGCTTTACCTAGTTCGAATGCCACACTCAGTTTCTACTTGCTCCTCGGGCATATGATATTTTATTGATATTAGCAAAACAACAAAGAAACAAATCAATGCTTGTGATCTTCACGGGTACAGAAGCATTGATGAGGACCCTCATCACAATACAGATAAAGCAACAATGGGAGAGTAGGACGCGAGAGGCGAGCAGACAATTATCAGCTTGTCAACAAAATAGCATACGCATATTGCATCTCGACATGATCGCTCATTTAAATACCCGTGAAGATCCGGGTTCAAATTGATCTTCAGTAACCCATGGGAGGCTCATGATGTTGATCACTGGATTGTCTGGTCCAGACTCGATTATTTACAGCCATTTAGCTGGAATATTGCTATGTGCGGCGTAAACCTAAATTCATTCACTCACTTACTCGCTCATGTAAATGGCACAATATACTCTAACTCACATAGATTTACGGGGATATAGGACATACGCAGCAGAACAAGCCAGAGACAGGCGGCTGTTCCTGAGACGAATAGGAACAGGAGCATCATCTTCATGTGACGTAGAAATTGATCAGCAATCCTTGAAATAGAGAACACAGAGTTCGAGCATTATCTGAGCTTCGATGTAGTCATCTCTAGCACGTCCAGAACATATTTTCTATAAGATGAATGATAGATCTTTGCCGTATTCTTGTATCTCATTCTTTATCCAGACATACGTGTACATACCTGGACATCAGTAGTGCCGCTGCACAACCACCGACCGTGGCATAAAAACCAATCCAACCAGCTTGGTACTGAATGAAAATAGTAGCGAGGTTACGATTCAAACAGAACTGATAAGATCTCATGAAACTGCACATCAAACATTTTCCCAAATCCAACATACCGAATGCGCAGCTCAGTCGTACGTTGATTTATACTGGGAAGAAGTCAGTAATGTTGCACGTCTCTGTCAGTAATATTCCATCAAAAACAAAGCAGGCAACACCATTAAAGGGGTCAATACAATTTTTCTATGTGTTCACTCAATCTGTATGTGTGTCACATATGTGTCACCTAAAGTATAAACTTTACAGATGATTAATTTGGAGTAAAAATATTTTTCATATGTATGTATGTATGTATGTATGTATGTATGTATGTATGTATGTATGTATGTATGTATGTATGTATGTATGTATGTATGTATGTATGTATGTATGTATGTATGTATGTATGTATGTATGTATGTATGTATGTATGTATGTATGTGTATGTATGTATGTATGTATGTATGTATGTATGTATGTATGTATGTATGTATGTATGTATGTATGTATGTATGTATGTATGTATGTATGTATGTATGTATGTAATAAGATGGGTTTTGATAGATGTTTTGAAGGCAGAACAGGTTTGACATTGGCGGACATCAAGGGAAGATTGTTCCAGGCAGTGGCTGCAGGATGCGAACGATTTCTTCCCATAACTAGAGAGTTTCACTCTTGGAACAGTAAACAGATGTTTGGATTTCAGACCGAAGGGTTCTGCTGGGACAGTACAATGGAAGTAAGTCACAGAGGTACTGTGGGGCTGTTTGAGAGTAGCATTGGAATGCCAGATAAAGGAGCTTAGAGTCGATCCGTTGTTTTACCGGAAGCCAGTGGAGTTCTTGGAGGATGGGTGTGACGTGGTTCGACATGGGTGACAGAGAGACAAGCCGAGCAGCTTTATTTTGAATCTTTTGGAGTCTGTTTAGGTTGATATTTGGAGAGTTGGCGAGAAGACTATTACAATAGTCAAGGCGAGAAATGATAAGAGAGAGAGTCAGCATTTTCGTAGCTTCTTTAGTGAGAGAGGGTCTGATTATGCTGATGTTCCTTAATTGTAGGTTGCAGACTTTAGAGAGGTGACTGATTTGCTTGTCCAGACTAACATTAGAATCGATGACAACCTCGAGGTCTTTTACATGGGATGGCAGAGGTATGGTAGAATTGTTCACTCTCATCGAGTGAATTTGGCATTTCTGACGTCTCTGTGATGGACCAATGAGAATTGCTTCAGATTTCTCGGCGTTGAGTTGTAGCTTATTGTTGGTCATCCAAAGTTTGATTTCTTCACAACAATCAGATGTTCGGGATATGGCCTAGGCAGCAGCAGAAGGACTTGGTGTGAAAAGATTACACAGCTGAGTGTCATGAGCATACAAATGGTGTAGTAGATCATGTTTGCTGCTGATGTTGACAAGAGGTCTGGTTTAAAGACTGAACAGTGTGGGTCCCAAAACCGAACAGGACTAGATGAGATTCCATTGATGACTACTTTCTGTGTTCTATCTGTCAAGTAGGATTGAATCCACTTCAGTGCCGATCCCCTAATTCCGAATTCTGAGTCAAGACGTGTCAAAAGGTTGTTTTGATCAATTGTGTCAAAAGCTGCACTTAGATCAAGAAGAATTAGAAGAGCAACGTCACCATTGTCCACACCACACCGTATGTCATTCAGAACTTTCAACAAGGCAGTTTCAGTGCTATGGCGAGGTCTATAAGCCAACTGAGGGGGTTCATGGAGATTGTGCTTGCTAAGATGTTCAGACAGACGACAGCTCACAGCCTTCTCAACACGTTTTGATACAAAAGACAGATTGGAGACTGGTCTATAGTTCTTCAGATTTTCTATGTCGAGTCCAGATTCTTCAATAAGGGCTTGACTATAGCTGTCTTGAAGTCTTGCGGCATAGAACCGGAAGTTATCGATAGATTGACGATTTTGGAGATGGGAGGCAGCAGAATACTGCTTGTAGGGAAGTAATGCATAACTTCCTCGTAACTGTCTAACTCTGATCGGATAGTCTGGATTTTGTTGATGAAATAAGATGGGAAATCTTCTGATATTTCGAGATCACTTCCCCTGGATGGTAGAGACGAGGTATTGGTTTTCCCCATCATAGTGAAGAGGAGTCGATATAGAGCCCTTGAATCTTTCGTATTTTCTTTGACTTTGTTGTTGAGATAGCGACGCTTGCATTGGCGGATTATCAACGTCAGTTCATTCCAATCTGGATTTTCTCCAAAGTCTCTCTGCTCTCCGTCTCTTACGTTTTGCAGCTGCAACTTCTGTTGCGAAATCACATGTTGATTCATGACGATCAGGAATCTTCTTGATCTTTACCGGGGCATGCTTGTCAAAGTAGCTTTGTCAAAACACGGTTGTACTGAGCAACAAAATCTTCATAGTTACCTGGAGGATTCAATATCAATTCAGAGTTTGTTAAGTCTTGTCTAAACGCATCTCTATCCATATTGCGAACTTACAGACTTCAGAGGACGAGGAGGGTGTGATGAGTCCAGATTCATGAAAATACAGGAATGATCTTACAGCTGATAGTCCACTATACTGACGTCACGGACACATGCCTAAGTGACCCGTGTCAGCACCCAGTCGAGGATATGTCCGGACTTATGTGTGGGGACAGTCGTATGCTGGACACAGTCATGAATCTCAAACAGCTTATTCATTTTCTTCCCTTTCTCTGATATGCATGTTCAAGCAAAGACTGAAACTCATCATGGAACAAAGAAGTACTCAGTCTGTTCTTTGCTGATGGGGGAGGGCGATACAGACTGATAATCCGAGTGGCTGTTTTGCTGTGTGTGATGAGAATCTCAAGTGATTCGTAGCAGTGAGCAGCCGGGAGAGCAGAAGAAGGTACCATGATGTTCAGATGTCCCTGTGGTTGATTGCCTTTTGTTTTCGACGGCCACCCCGGCGGCAAAAAGACTTAACTCACTCACTCATATTATATTTATGTATCTGCCAAGACAGTCCAGACCAAATAGACCCTGTTCTTATATTTTAATATACTAATTGAATGGAACGTTCGGGTACACTGATACGATACAGTTGTCATAAATCCGAATACAGTGTACCATTCAAATGAAAGTATCGTTGTTATAACAGTAGAAAGATTTCAGATGTGTGCACATGACATCACCCGATATTACTCGACGTCATATGATTAGCAATAATGGTTACTATAATGCTGAGAATCTGGTATGTACAAAAATAACTTATCTTGCCTCACACATAAATGTCGTTTCTGATTGGCTGAGCGCTCTCCTATAATTTTCAATGTAGCCCTCTTACAAGCGAGTAACATTTACTATGTACCCCGCTGGGAATGCCGAACCCATTTGGTACTTCGTAGTAGTAATTCTTATCTCGAATAACATTGAATCACGTATGATGTACGGAAATTGACGATGTTTTGCGAATGCAAATCGATGGAAGGGACTTAACTCTAATTTTGTTTTTATTGTCGTCTGGTACTCCATACTGTGGTCCGATACCCGTGCTTCAAACAGTTTGAAATTACCATTGAGGTGTTCGGTAAGATAAATACATTGTTCACTGGTCCCTCGGGGCCCATGGGTTGATGTACCCTCGAGACCAGTGAACAACTTATAATATTCCTTGTTATTAACATTTTAATAAGGAACCTAAGTACATGTGAAGCATGTGTTTGAATTCGAAATGGTACACACAAACAGTCTGATGTACACATTTTAGGAAATATTATAGGAATAGGAACGAACTGTAACTGTCAGTGATAGGCTAATTCACAAAAGTACATTTTGGTAACAGCATAATGCTGGCTGGTGAAGTGGACTTCCAAATCAATGTTAGCTACATAACACGAAGTCTTGGATCAGAACATCAGCATTTGATTACAGCTCCAAACACAAAGTTCAATACCCGAGCCCGGAGTGAGTAAGTTTAGTTTTACACCGCACTCAGCAATATTCCAGTTATAGGGCGGCTGTCTGTAAATAATCGATTCGGGACTCGACAATCCAGTGATCAACAGCATGAGCATCGATCTACGCAATTGGCATACGATGACGTGTGTCAACCAAATCAGCGAGCCTGACCACCCGTTCCCTTAGTCGCCTCTCACGACAAGCATGGGTCAATTTTAGCCTGGATCTTCAAGGGTATCCCGAGCCCACAGATCACTTGTTTACACAACGTAATGTTTATGCTGCCATGTTACCATTATTGCCGTCATCATCACCATAATTACCTGTGATACTCCGACACCATCCAGGACCATATCCAGTGCAGCCCCAAGGCCGCCAAACACCCCCGTCGGGACACTGTAGGCGACCAGTATCACCAAGAAGCGTTTATGTCTGCACAAGGAGAAATAACACTTAAAGATAATTCATGTGACAGTTCAATAACACACATGGGACTAATTGCGGCTACATTAACACCTCGCCAGTTCAGCGATCACAAGGCGACACATTTCGTTTCGATCCTGGGTTCGAATCCTACAATCGCTTCAGATTTGTTAACTTCCTTGTTTGAGGCTCTCGCTGGCGATAAACAATAAAGAACCGTATTATTTCGTCCTGTCACATGACGTTGAGACTTTAAAAATACTGTTCAAGAAGTGAAAAGATTCAATCACTCGTTCATCAGGTCTTTGTTTGTTATAAGTACTTCTGAGTTATGCTCATATATCATCGAAAGGGTAATTGAGTGAATATAAATTGAAAATCAAAACAGCGAGCCTGACCACCCGTTCCCTTAGTCGCCTCTTACGACAAGCATGGGTCAATTTTAGCCCAGATCTTCAAGGGTATCCCGAGCCCACAGATCACCGGGTCGCCATCTTCTGGTCCAAAATGGTATGCCTTGCTTCATTTGGTATACAAAGTACACTTTTTATGTGATTTGCCGCCGTATATGTGGAAACGAGTAGTACATCTTAGAGTGCATATTGATGGTCCCTTCTGTCCAGTAAATCCGCAGCAATCAGCACTAATAGTAAACCCAGTCAGGATACTGACAGTTAGGAATGTTGAAAATGGTTTTACGCCGCTTTTAGCAATATTCCAGCAATATCTCGGCGGGGACACCAGAAATGGGCTTCACACATTGTATCCATGTGGGGAATCGAACCCGGGTCATTGGTGTGACGAGCGAACAGTTTAACCACTAGGCTACCGCAGCCTCCCACCCATACCTCCACTCCCTGACAGAAAGGCAATCAGTGCCTCATGTGAGTAGCACTTTTAAAGAAGATCAACAACAATCTTACTTGAAAAGTCCTTTGATCCCATGCAGGTAGTTTGTCCTTTCCATGGACGCTGTGAGACTGGGGGGAGACGGAGGCTTGGCGGGGAAGTACACCACCACCAGGAGCAGCAACAGCACACACGCCGCACATTCTGTATACATCGAAGACGCGGAGTACAGCGACATAATCTTCAATCTTCACACACATTCATATACACTCATATGCAGATACTACTGAGAGATAGTATCGACGTTAGAAGAGTAAAACATTACACACACACACACACACACACACACACACACACACACACACACACACACACACACACACACACACACACACACACACACACACACACACACACCTACTCAGAAAGATAATCATTGCAAGCCTTAATCAGGACACAGAGATACACTTATTTACACAGGTAGATAATATAGGCATGAGAAGCATTATTCAAGGGAAACTCACGTACACTCATCTATTCAGCTGTATACACCCATTTAGATGATACAGACTTAACAATAAAATCAAGATGCAATATTTGAGGATTATCCACTTAATCTCTTCAAAGGACACCACAAATTGTCTTCATAAATTGTATCCATGTAGGAACACAACCCGGATGTTTACATATGAAGACGATACACATTTAACACAAGACAAAATACCTGCCTACATTACGAGGCAGACAAATACTAACTACGATTTATGATGACAAAGGTATTTCTTAACAGTTTAGGTCAGCGTACGGAGGAAACGTTGATCACCTGTATACATGAGTCTCATGATGCCGCTTCTCACCTCGGATATGTTAGCGGCTGGCGTCAGACTGAATGCGGTCGAATTCATCTCATTTGACACACTGTAACAAGAGACATGCCACTTGTGTATCTGTATTCCGTAGCTGGTGAATCAATGTGCATAAAACGAATACAGTCGAGCAGTAATCACGTACCTTTACACTTTATGTGTTCAGGTGTATGTGTGTTGGGGCGTGTTGGCGGGATGAGGGTGTCTGTGTGGGGTGTGTGTGTGTGTGGGGGGGTGTATGTGGGGTGGGGGGCGGTGTGTGATATGAGGTATTGAAAAACAAAAGTAGAGGGATGTAAAAAAGCTGGTACATGCCTATCAGTTTGTAGGCAACAATTCATCATAAACATTAAATAAATAGAACGGTATACAAAATAATATACTCTAGATCAATAACCTTTGATTTTGGTTTTCAGAGTGAGACCATCGGCACTCAAATAATATCACGTCACTAGATTGCAAAACATATAGCGGTTCATAAGTAAAATACTTAAAGAAGCTGAAATCTATAACGCACTCCTGTCTTCGTCGATGAAAAAATGACAATATCGTTTTAACTTACTTCATATTAGTAAGCTTTAACATTAATGATATACAATGCTTCAGTTCGTTACCACGGCAGATATTAAACGTTTTTTCAGAGTTGTGCAAACAGTTTTCAGCAAAGAAAACGAAACAGTTCTGGTATATAGAAAATGTCTGTGAAATGTTTACATTTAATACTAACGGGAGCCAGGAACTACAGTTCATGTTGTGTAGTTATATCTATTGCACATTTTGAGGAATAGAATGGATGCGTTTCTTACTTTAACGAAAGCATATCCGTCATGTTCAGGGATGATTCTTCTGGTTGTGGCACCATGAGCGGCCCTGCAGATACACATTGTACCCATCATTATAAAATTGTCTTCCATAATAGATATAGGACGAATTAGGACCGAACCCAAGTAAAAACAGTATGATTAAGTCAAGGTAATTAAAAGAACCATTCTTATTTTGTTTGAATGTGTAATCCCCTGAAACGCCCTAGTACCGTCCTTCCATTATACATGTAGTTGGTAAAATATTCTTGTATAATAGGGGCGGTGGAGTAGCCTAGTGGTTAAAGCGTTCGCTCGTCACGCCGAAGACACGGGTTCGATTCCCCACATGGGTACAATGTGTGAAGCCCATTTCCGGTGTCCCCCGCCGTGATATTGCTGGAATATTGCTACTCACTCACTCACTCTTGTATAATTTGTTGATTATATTTATGTTTAAAATTGTATGCAGGTTCTTCAGGACAATATTTATCAATTATATTTGCATCATATCTCCAAGTATGTATATGCCCATCAGCAGCTGAAATATTCAGAACCGGAACTGCGATTTCGAAGCACCGTATTTTTAACAATTGCTGATGTAACGGTGAATTGTAAACGCTCTACTCACCAATGATGAAGCTGACTGCCATGCCAGTCATGCTGGAGACGGTTGACACGGCTGTTGCAGTGGCCCTCTGTTTGGGGGGAAACCACGTAGCGGAAAGGAGGGCGGGGCCGGCCACTGGTACAGTGCTAGTCACTCCATTCACAATAGCTGCAATGTTTATCAACCTGAGAAGAAGATGTAAATCACAGAGCATACGAACATTCATAATGTCCTAAGGTAACATAAGGTAAATGTTGGTTGATATTGTTTATATGAAATATGTACCGACTTCTAAACCAAACAAATCACTTATGGTAAAAATATGTATGTGCTGGAGTGAGTGAGTATGATTTCATGCCGCCTTTAGCAATAATCCAGCAACTTCACGGCGGGGGACACAGGAAATGGGCCTAACACTTGTTCCTATGTGGGGAATCGAACCCGGAGATTAGGCGTGACGAGCGAACACTATAACCACTAAGCTACCCCACCGTCCTTTATGTGTTGGAAATATAAGTATATGAACTTATGACATATATAATGGCGATGTACTGACCATGTCGCTGGTACTGGGTCACTCGTGATACATCGTACGGCCGTCATAAACACCATCGTCACAGCGCACAACATCATTGATTTCCGTAGACCTAGAGTGATGGAGGGAGGTAAACATATCCAAAGCTCATTGAAGGCATACAATATTTTACTCTGTCAGCAGGCACAGGCATTTATCCAATAATATAATATCTGAAATATGGGGGCGCATTTATGTTTAATACTAATTTAAAATAATTTGAATAACAAATATACAGAACTTCATTTTGTATACAACGTTTTTTTTCAATGTATTTCATCTGTGTTCAAGAGATTTTATGGTACCCTTCTCGAATGATCTACTGTTTTGCTGTTACTCCACTGTCATATTTGATATCTATGAATCCAGATACATTCATGAAACCAATAATGACGCATATAGTTGTGAAAAATATATCAGGGGTTTACTAGAACTATCTCGCATCCTATTGATAGTGATGATATATACTGATAGCAATTCAACAGTCGGTATAAAGAGCTACTGTTTGTCAAAAGACTGCCTCGTAATTCATGTCGTTATTATGTACAAGTGGGATATTAATATTCTCAAGCGATGATGAGTGAGTGAGTACGCCGCACTCAGCAATATTCCAGCTATATGACGTCGGTCTGGAAATAATCGAGTCTGGACCAGACAATCGAGGGATCAACAGCAGTAACATCGATCTACGCAATTTGGATACGATGACATGTGTCAACCCAGTCAGCGAGCCTGACCACCCGATCCCGTGAGTCGCCTCTCACGACAAGCAGGGGTTACTGAAGATCAATTCTAACCCGGACCTTCAGGGGTCAAGCGATGATGATGACATAACGAGTCTTCACCATAGAACGTCAGTGAGAAAGAATACCCGGTCCTGACTGTCCTGAGGATCCAATTCCGTAAAGTGAAAATATCTGTGAAAATTATATGAATGGATCGCTGAAAATCAGAGATGACACCAGGTGTTCGCGAAAAGGGTAAGCATCTCCTGCCCTACCCGCCATTCACAAAATTTGCTAAAGAATGGACGTTTGTTGTGCCTGACGCCACACAGTAGTGTTGCCATGCGGCAACTTCCTGTTTACAAACCAGACAATAAGGTGACCGATGGACCGGGAACAACTGTTTGATAAACAATTGTTTGGGTGAGTTGGCTTGGTATAATACTACTTTAACAGCTCAGTGGTTTTTAAGAAGTCATGAAGTAATTTGATTTTAGAGGAGTGACATTTTGATTAAACATGATGATAACTGGTTTTCACCTATTTGCTGAATTGACAACGATACTAACTGGGCGAGACTTTTTGGGGGTCATATCCGATATTTCAGTCTTAGAACTTGGGACATAATGTGCAGCAGCACATGTATGATGTATTTGGTAGCTGTGAATAGCTTGGGCTGACAAGTTATCTAACAAGTCGAAGGGTGATTCTGTACTCAGATATTGACACTGCCTTCTATTATCTACGTAACTTATGAAACATTGGTATTATCTATCCTACTCAACCTATGCAAGTATAGGTCCAGGTTACATCTGACTTGCCATGAGCAGGCTTAGTGTAGGGACGCCCCTTGAAATCAACAACTGAATATGCACAGCACACTTGAGTGAAATAAATATATATAATTTTATACAAGAGTGCACTGCATATCCAGCTGATGAAAATATATATAAAATATATACATATATATATATATATACATACACACAATTCTAGTATTTTAAACAGAAATTAAAATATTAATATACATAAAAATCATTTTAATCAAGTTGTGGTCTGCATATCCAGTTATAGATGTCCTGAGAAGTCAGGCATATGACATTTTATTGTATATCATCTGTGATGCTGGATGCCAGTTGTTATGATCTCAGTAGTTTCCACACTGGTCTACATGGTATGTACGCTCAGTTCATTGTTGCTTGGCTGTTTTGTTGTTTAACGCTGCACACAGCAACATTCCAGCTATATGGCGTCGGTCTGTGAATAATCGAGTCTGAACCAGACAACCCAGTGATCAACAGCATGAGCATCGATCTACGCAATTAGGATACGATGACATGTGCAACCAAGTCAGTGAGCCTGACCACCCGGTCCCGTTTGTCGCCTCTTACGACAAGCATTGGTTACGGAAGGCCAATTCTAACTCGGATCTTCACGGGTCAGTTCATTGTAAGGCTTATTAGCATTTAATGTGTCTCGTGTATTGAATTAAGTTATTTCAATATTTAGTATTGGATACAGGCAGTACAACTGAGCGTATAAGATATAACCTTTTCAAACACATGTCACATAACGGAGAGATACTTACCTTTCACATCCATCAACCAGGCAACTGGAAACATGCACAGAATGTACACAATATTCCCCCAGTTGTTCAGCATACCTAAATTGGCATTCGACCACCCGAACACAGCCTTAGCTGACTGAGCAATAGGTCCGAAAGTGTTCCACACCCCTGACTGAAGAAACCCAGCATACGAGAACACAGCGAGAACATACCACCGGCGTTTGTAGGACTTAATGTTCCTCGTGGAGTCCAACAAGGGAGAGTCTTCCTCTGATACCTTCTGGGATGAGTTGGAGCTATGTGCTTTTCGTAGTCTGTTTCCACCAACCACAGGAAGGTGATCTTCAATACAGTCCTTGTCCTCCATTTTGCTATTCCGAACTGGTTGTGACGGAGGGCGGGATAGCAGGTCTCCTCTCTTTAAAACCACTGACCGAGCTAATTCCAAGGGGTCAAACGGTCATCGTCTCGCGCTACGTATACCGCAGCATGATTGCGTCACAATGGAGGAGGCGTATCGGATAACCGTATTACTCAGCACATGGCGTAAACATTTCGAGAATGTAACTACCGAGATATAGCATTGTTAACACACTGGTCTACATATTCACACAGTGTGAGCATATCAGTCTATATTACAGTACGAATCAAAAGTAAGTAACCCGCTATTCATTCGCCTGTACAGCTTACTCAGGTGTGAAGGATGGCGTTCTTCTTGGGTGACCGACGTCAAATCAAGATGAGTCACATAA